TTTGCACCGGCGATCACTCCCCGCCCTCGTCAGTGCTCGAGATGTTACAATAACGGTGACACTTTTTTCTTAGTGTATATTTCATGCATACTATTTGTTATCATGATTTAATTTATCCGTATCATGTCAAGCACAAAAGGTGCATTTAACTTATATTGCAATTTTAATCAAATATTAGGATATCGTCTAGAGCTAAAAGCTTAGAAGTATATAATATTTGCTTTCATTTAAAATTAATTTATTTTTGAAGCTCATTGATAGTTTTTTTATGTGAATTTTTATTAATATAAGTAATATTTTTATATTTTTCATATGTGAACAGTAAATCCGATTCTACCCGATTGAACCAATGATCCAATGACGCAGTACCTCTACCGGTTCGATAACCTGTACGAATTTTAAAATAGTGCTTTCAACCCTCAATTCAGTAATGTCTTTGTCCCATGCAATGGACATGGCAGTGTAGATGCTCCGTAATGTCTAGGAGACAAGTGCCGCTAAGAGAAGCCAACAGCATCCATTCTAAAGTAGCTCAAGAAGCCTAGGCGTTTGATCACATGCAAAGCTCTCTCCATCCACTAATTCGCATAGCAAGTATCTGTACTATATGTCTGTGCACCAAATCTTTTATATGTCTGTGCACCTGCCCCTCCGACTTACCATGATTATGGATTCCATGATATTTTGTTTTTTTATCTGACCATTTCATTTTTTCTCATTTAAATATTATGTTGAGATATTCAAGTGTAATGATATCACACACTGATTCATGATGGACTAAGTGAAGTTTATATAAATGAGAGGATTCATAAACTCAATGCCTTAAGATTTTGAGTTGAGATATAATATTGAACTCACTTAATATAGTTGGTCTAACTTAACTTATTGGTGATGGTCCCCCGTTAAAGGCTCCCACGAACCCGTCTAACAGTGATATCAGAGTCAATGATTGATTGTATGCCTGAGTGTTCCTAGTTTATTATATCCATATTGTCTTTTCAAATCTTGTAAATTTTATTAAAATCCTTTAAAATCCAATCTTATGAAATCTTCATTATAAAAAAGTCTTTAAATTCTTCCGATTCTAAATAATCTTTTAAAATTTATAAAAAAAATTATCTCAAAAAAATTCTTTTAAAATCCTAATCCAATATAACCCCCTAAGTGTTGAGACATAATGTTAAACTCACTTGATATAATTGATCCAGCTTAACTCATTGGCGGTGATCTCCGTCACGGGCTCGGTTGAAGACATATTGACATGTATGTAATAAGAGGCAGGATCCTTTGACATCAGTGTCAAATTTAAAAATTTGACATCTCATCTGATAGCCATTAGATAAAAAAAGATCAATGGTGTCATATGTTTACAAATCAGAATCGTTGATCTTTTTTTATCTAGCGACTATCAGATGAGGTGTCAAATTTTAAATTTGACACTGATACCAAAAGATCTTACCTCATATAATAATATTAGTAATGGTTTCTCAAAGCAATTTTATTGTACAATATAATAGATATGGATTAGCATAACGCAGTTAAGATGCAAAATATCCAATAAATTAAGCCACAAGGAAAGCGCTTTTGGGTACTTTTCATTAGTTCTTTGAAAAGTATCTACAGACTGAGCATCCAATATATTTATCAATTTTTCTATTCAATTGAATTTGATTTTTTTTATTTTTATCTTTAAGAATTCGATCGCCTACCGTTCAAATGCAAATTGCATTGGGTGCAGTTTGTATTTAAATGGTTTATATTCATTTAAATATATTCAAAAAATAGTTGTAAAATTAAATAATTTCGACGGATGTTGGTTTTTTTCAACTTAAAAATTATTAAAGTTAAAAATAAAAGAAAATGTTATATTTACAAATTTTTTGTTTACCAATTCTTACAAACTACACTAAGTATGACCGGTCATAATTCAATCAAGAGTGTATGACCGATCATACTTAGTGTAATCTGTAAAAAAAATTTTGTAAATATATCCTTCTCAAAAATAAAATAAGAACTTGAAAAATATAATTGAAAAAGAAGAGAAGCTAACAAAAAGGAGGGCAAACGAGTACAACTCCTGCTAAAATTAAGACTTCCACCGTAACTTTGATTAATTGGATGGATTCCAAATTTGCTAAAGTGAACTCATTTCTTTCAAACTTCTTTAACACGCAGTATAAAAATTGGAAAATTATATTCTCATGTTACATAAAATTCATCTCTCATGTTACACTCACATAAAAAGATGTGTCTCACTTTTTTTTTCTTTTTTAAAAATTGATGGGTTCCACTTAATTCATCTCATAACATAAGATAACTCCTCTCCTACAACATTAGAGAAGTAAAACCCATAAAAATTTTAATTGGTTTCGGACGAAACTCTTTCACGTTTTTTTTTTAAGTAGGCTTAGGTTTCCTTTTCACTGCCAAAGGCTTTAGGTGCTTCATAACTCAATTCAATTCATGGCCATTTTCATTTGTGGCCCATTCGATTGAACAACTCATTCACGAGTCCAAGTGGTTAACCATGTGCTTCAGCTTTCTAGAGATTTTCTACGGTCTAATCGTGGCAACTGGTACAAAATATTGGCTAATTTTTTTATTTTCAGAAAAAATTTAAAAAAATGGTTAATAAAGCCTGTTTTGTAAAAAAAAATTGAAAGCTCTTATTTTTTTCAGAATCAAATTTAGAGAATATATCTGAATTGTTTTTGTTTTGTGTTTTAATTTTTAACTTTCAAGACAAAAAAAATATAGAAAACAAATAGGAAAAAAGATTTCTCCTGTCAATGGAGATAAGCTATCTTCGGTGAGTCCAAAACGACGTCATTTTTGTAGTTCTAATTTATTACAAAGTTATATTAGTCTTTATCATTATAATTTTTTAATCTTACAACCTAAAACGACATCATTTTAGGCTAACTGGAGATAATTTTATCTCCAGTGACTGAAGAAATACTTTTTCAAATAATTATTTCATTAACTATTCTACAAAATAGTTTTAAAATCAGAAAAATCATAACACAATCAAAAAGACTGGGAATGTTTTCTTTTTTAAAAAACAGTTTTATAGTTTTTAGAATAAAATAAATTTGTTTAGGAAAGATTATTTTGTAATATGACTCTCAAAATAATAATTACTTTTTAGCTTTTAAAATAAATAATAATAATTTAAGAATGTACTCAAATATTATTTTTTGGTTTTATTATTTTACAGTAGCAATTTTATAATTATGAGAATTTATTAATGGTATTTCTGTAAACAAGTCTAACTTTTTTTTTTAATTTTAAATTATTATACGGTGACAACTTTGTAATTATAAAAATTTATCAATGGTATTTTTATAAATCGGTACATTTTTTTATAACTTTAAATCTAATCATATTTAAACAAGTTTTGTTGTTCTTATATTCTGAAAACTAATTTTGAAAATTTATATTCAAAATATTTTTTAAAAACAGAAAAAACAAAATCATATTCAAACACATCCAATCACCAATTTCCTACTGGTTTGATTGCAAATCTGATCCAATGATTGGGTCCAATTTTCGATTGGATCAGCCGGTACGATCTGGGTTTAACATGATTAATCTGAATAGAAGAAAATAATTTTAAGAAAGTTCTTGGAAGAAAACACAAAGAAGAAAATAGTAAACGTGAGAAAGGGGAAAAGTTCCATGACTCCATCCTATGTGAAAGCACAAAAAGTAATGGTAGTGTGAAACAAAGCTGCTAGCAACTCTTTTTGGTCTTTTGCTAACATGCTAGGAAAATTAAAGACGGTCCTATGCTAAAATCAAATGCCATAAAGGGCTAGCCAATTGAGTTTTATTAATTATTAACATTAAGGGTTTTATGATTATTATGTTACATAACTCAACTTGATTTTCCTACTCACACAATAAAAAAAAGAGAGAAAGTGAAATGATGAAAGAGAAGGAAAAAATGTGGACCCCACCTCTTTGATGTGTGTGTAGGAAAATGGAATTAGATTATGTCACATGATAAACATAAAGCCCTAACATTAATTATAAACACGGACCCTACACTAGGCAAATTTATGGTACCAAAACAACATTTTAACCATCTCATCTTGAATAGCTCTTCAGTGTGTTGCGCGCTAAACATATAGTCCAAGCTAACAATTGAGTGAAAACTGCCCTTGAAACAAAATGGAAGTTTTTCTTTTGTTTAGACATTGATGGATTTATGTGTCTGATATTGATTTCAACCCCACTTGGGGATCAAGTTGACCATGCTATGATGCCATGTGACTTCAGTCCAAATGAAATACTTTACCTTATTTTGTAGTTGAACTTAGTGTAATATGTCTAGACGTAATTAACAAGGTAGACTTATGATGATGTAATTAATGGATTGGCATAGCTCTCTGTCACAATCCTACTCCAAGGTTCTGGTGTGAACTTTGGACTCTCCTACCTCATGAGTTAGCTTTTGAGGTGAGATTCTCTCAAAATTTGTATTAATTGGTTTCAGAGCTTTCTATTATACCTCTTGCTTACAATCAAGTGGCACGGGTGGTGTTGCCGGCATTTAAACTCTCTTACCTCGTAAGTTAGCTTTTAGGGTGAGGTTCCTCTGAGGTTCATGTCACTCTCAATGATGAGCTTCCAGTACTAGCTTCCAAGAGCAATAGCTCCTTTTTGTATAGACTTTTCTGTTTGAATCATTCAACCAACAGCATAAACCTTTCAAATTTTATCTGAAAACACGTCTTGCTTAAGGTTCGTATCACTCTCAATTAGTGATGAGCTTCCAGTACTAGTTTCCAAAAGCAAGAGTTCCTTTTTGTATAGACTTTTCTGTTTGAATCATTCAACCAAAAGTATAAACCTTTCAAATTTTATCTGAAAACACGTCTTGCTTGATTGGTGGGAGTTTCTGGAAGAAAGATAAATCGTAAAGCAAATGAATCATGCATGGATAAATATATCTTTGTCGAGGGACATGTATATAAACACACACACCACCAACCATTTGGCTGCAATGTTCTAACTAACCTGACAATGGATATTAGTAAATCTTCTGCTCTCTTGTTGCTCCTCCTTTCCTTCACCTCATTTCTTCTGACATGTCGCTCAGCCCCAATAAAGGCAAATTTATCTGTCTTCATCTTTCTTTTCAATTCCATGGGCCTTACTCCCTACTTTTTTTCTCTTGGTTTTCATAGTTATGTGCTTTTGATAATTATGTTCTGAATGCAGACTTACATTGTGTACACTGGGAACAGCATGAAGGATGAAGCTTCTGCATTGACCCTTTACACAAGCATGCTACAAGAAGTTGCAGACAGGTAATACCATTCCATCCAAATCAAAAATTTCAGACACTACAACTTTTTATTTGTCAGGTAGGTATAGGGAGGAGTCCAAAGCCGGTGACAGCACCAATAGGCTAAGCTAACCCAACTATAACAAATAGGTCCGACACAATATCATAACCCAAAACTTTAAGACCTAGAGTTCATGGGTTCATCTACTTATATCCACTTCATTTAGCTCATTATCAACTAATGTGAAACTCATCACACTTTAATATTCCAACAATCTCCCTCTCAAATGTAAAATCCACAATTGATATGCCTCCCCTCAACTGAGTATTCAAACACAAATACTCAACCCAACTCTGATATCACTATCATACGGGTCCAACTATAGCCCATACGGGTCCAGCTATAGCCCATATGGGTACATAAGAAAACTTCACTTTCTTATTTGGTTATATACTTGGTTGTTGTATACTATCAAGTGAAGCAGAATCCTATCTATTGCCACACCTGTCTCTCAGATTGATGATATGTTCAATAAATATTACTAATGGAACTGATAGGCTACAATGTACAAGCATTATGTAAAGAACCTTGGGATACACCACCCCAAAAGCTAGCTCAAAGGATGGGAGCGCCCAAGGCCTTATAAACTCCACATTAGTTACACATACAACTAATGTGGGACTATATATCTCAACACGCACCCTCACACGAAAGCTCATTGAGCTTGAAGAGTGGACAATGCAACAGGCCTAGCCTACCTGTGCTAAAAAACGTCACAAGAGAAAGTGGAGGGCGGCGGCGAGGCTCTGATACCATGTAAAGAACCTTGGGATACACCACCCCAAAGCTAGCTCAAAGGGTGGGAGTGCCCAAGACCTTATAAACTCCACATTAGTTGCACATACAACCAATGTGAGACTATATATCTCAACACGCCCCCTCACACGAGAGCCCATTGGGCTTGAAGAGTGGACATGCAACAGGCCCAGCCTACCTGTGCTAAGAAACGCCACAAGAGAAAGTGGAGGGCGGCGGCGAGGCTCTGATACCATGTAAAGAACCTTGGGATACACCACCCCAAAAGCTAGCTCAAAGGGTGGGAGTGTCCAAGGCCTTATAAACTCTACATTAGTTGCACATCTAACCAATGTGGGACTATATATCTCAACACGCCCCCTCACGCAAGAGCCCTTTGGGCTAGAAGCATGGAATTGCATAGGCCCATTTTTGGTTTACACCTTTTTGTGCTTTTTTTTATTTTAATTCCACTTTTTAAAGCGGGGGACGGCGAGGCTCTGATACCATGTAAAGAACCATGTGATACACCACCCCAAAAGCTAGCTCAAAGGGTGAGAGTGTCTAAGGCCTTATAAACTCCACATTAGTTGCACATCTAACCAATGTGGGATTATATATCTCAACATTACACCTTATAAATTTGGCAAGACTAATTTTCCTTGTAAAGCTATGTTTGGTAGGAAAAATGTTTTAGGAGATAAAAGAATGAGAGGACCAAGGTTTAACCAGTTGAAAGTTGAAACTATCTATCATTTCCTCATTCTTTCCTGCATGAACAAAAGGAAAATGAAAAGTAGCCAATGTTAGTATCATTATTTGTTGAGACTGAGACAGTGAACTAAAAATGCATAGTTGGTTTCTTTTTCTTACCTCGTTTTCTTGATTTGTGTTCACAATTTCAGCAATGCCGAGCCCAAGTCAGTACTGCACCACTACAAACGTAGTTTCAGTGGCTTTGTTGTGAAGCTAACAGAGGAGGAAGCCGATAGAATGGCTGGTCAGCACAAAAACTATTCTATCCACTTTAAAACTAACAAGTCCTTTCTTCTTGGGTTTACAAATTTGCCAACCGAGAAAAACTCTTTAATGCAGGACTTGATGGAGTGGTGTCTGTATTTCCTAATGAGAAAAGACAACTCCATACAACAAGGTCTTGGGATTTTATTGGCTTTCCACTACAAGCTGAAAGAGGACCAACTAAAAGTGATGTCATTGTTGGAGTACTTGACTCTGGAATCTGGCCAGAATCTGAGAGTTTCAATGATAAAGGATTTGGCCCAGCACCTAGTAAATGGAAGGGCACATGCCAAACGTCTAATTTCACTTGCAATAAGTATGTACTAGTAGTCTAGTTAGAATACATTAACAACATTCAAGATATTCATAGAGGTAGATAAAAAAAGTACATTATTAATATTAACAGATGTTGCTATATTCTTGTAGTAAAATCATTGGGGCTAAGTATTACAGAGCTGATGGTTCATTTAGTGATGAAGATTTAAAATCTCCAAGGGATTCAGATGGTCATGGCACTCATACAGCATCAATAGCAGCAGGGAACCCAGTTAACACAGTGAGTATGTTGGGCCTTGGACAAGGAACAGCAAGAGGTGGAGCTACATCAGCACGCATTGCTGTCTATAAAGTATGTTGGATTGATGGATGTTATGATGCGGACATACTTGCTGGGTTTGATGATGCAATTGCTGATGGGGTTGACATAATATCAATTTCAATTGGAGGGTTCAATGATAAGGACTATTTTAGGGATGGATTAGCCATTGGAGCATTTCATGCTGTGAGAAATGGAGTATTGACAACAACTTCAGCTGGGAACTCGGGTCCAAAACTTTCATCATTAGCAAATTTTGCACCTTGGTTAATATCTGTGGCTGCTAGCACCATAGACAGGAAGTTTGTTACCAAGGTTGAATTAGGTAACAACAGAACTTTTGAGGTAAATTAACTTCTCTATCCTATGCCTGAGCATGCCTCGTGGCCTCATTTGTGAAAGTCAATCTAAGCTAAATAGGCTTGTAATTTAATGGACTATAAGAATATTGACTTAAATAAGTTTCGTCATATAAAGTTGTAACATCAGGATCATGTCAATTTCTTTATTCCATGTGTATGTGTAGGGAATCTCAATAAATTCATTTGACCTTAAGGGAGAATTGTATCCTATAATATATGGTGGAGATGCACCAAACACTAATGGAGGCTACGATGGATCTATATCCAGGTAACTAGTCCTGATGTCGTTTAACTTGAGATGTATAAGTATAACATTATGGCCAAACAAACAACTGTACAAGTACAAATAGTCCTTAGTGTTCCAAAATATCATTGGTCAAATAGCTGAAACATTCTAAAATACTCTTAATTTTTTAATGAAAATGTTTCCATAATGCAGGTTTTGCTCTGGTGGTACGTTGGACAAAAATAAAGTCAAGGGCAAAATTGTTCTCTGTGAAGGGAGAAGCCTAGCGCAAGGACCTTTCTATGCTGGTGCTGTTGGAGCACTGTTACAAAGTCAATCTTTTAGAGATGATCCTCCCTCTCTTCCTCTTCCAGGATCTTACCTTGACTTGCTGGATGGTACCTCCGTGTATAACTACTTAAACTCTACAAGGTAACAGCTGAAGATGCCATTTACACTAACAAGGGGTCTAGAGAAATATAATATTACTGTTACAGAAGAACCACATATACTGTTACCTAAATATAATATAAAATCAATAATTTAAGCCTCACCTAACAACTTAAACTTGAGGGTTGAAATGCTTCTTTACACATACATATCTAAAGCACTTTGTTTGAAACAATTTGCAGTACACCAACTGCAACCATATTTAAGAGTGATGAAATGAAAGATACTTTGGCACCTGTTGTGGTCTCTTTCTCCTCAAGGGGTCCAAATCATGTTACACCTGAAATTCTCAAGGTACCTTAGCTTTTTTGTTTTTGTTTTTTTTCTTCAATAAAGAAATTAAACTTACCAATCTATATATTTTTATTTTTTTTTTCATGTTGTAGCCTGATTTAGTGGCTCCAGGAGTTTCTATTCTAGCTAGTTGGTCTCCAATTTCCCCTCCTTCTGATATTGAAGGTGACAACAGAACATTACAATTCAACATTATCTCAGGAACATCAATGTCATGCCCACATGTTGCTGGGGCAGCAGCATATGTTAAATCATTTCATCCAATGTGGTCTCCTGCTGCTATTCGTTCAGCTCTAATGACAACAGGTAATAGAAATGTAATAAGCAATGACACATTTCAATTATTATCATTAGAATTTGTTGAGATATATAAAATCATTAATGTAACCTTATCCAACAGCTTAAGTTTTTGGTTTGAATTGGTTCTTTACAAGGTATCAGAACCTTGGTGTACCGGGTTTGATCTTTACCACCCCCACTTTTTTTCTAGTGGAATTTCTTTCTTCGCACAGGTAGATGGACCTGTGCATTATCCACCCTTCAAGTTTAGTGAGCTCTCGTGTGAGGGGGTGTGTTGAGATATATAAAATCATTAATGTAACCTTACCCAACAACATAAACTTTTGGGTTGAATTGGTTCTTTACAGAATTAAACTTTTAACTTTCTTCTCATTTGTGCACCTTGCAGCTAAGCAGCTTAATCCCAGGATTAACCGTGATGCAGAATTCGCATATGGTGCAGGCCAAATTGATCCTTTGAAGGCTGTGAATCCCGGTTTAGTATATGATGCTGGTGAAATAGACTATGTAAGGGTTTTATGTGGACAAGGCTATAGTTCCAGGATTATACAACTTATCACAGGAGATAATAGTAGCTGCTCTGAAACAACTTATGGAACAGCAAGGGATTTGAACTATCCTTCATTTGCTCTTCAAGTGCCACCCTCTAATTCCAGTGTAAGTGGCGGTTATAATAGGACTGTAACAAATGTTGGGTTTTCAATGTCCAAATATAAAGCTATTGTGACTGCTCCACAAGGACTAAAAATTGTAGTGAACCCTAGTGTTCTATCATTCACTTCTCTTAACCAAAAGCAAACATTTGTGCTCACAATTGAGGGAACAATGGAAGCATCCCTAGTGTCAGCCTCTTTGGTTTGGGATGATGGTAAATTCCAAGTTAGGAGCCCCATTATTGTGTTTAATACACCATAATAGGTAGGGTGATGCATTAAATAATTGTAGCAAAAGCATGAAGCATTTGCAGGTTTGCATTTATTAGCATTAAAGCCAAAATGGCTGCTCTCGTTTTTCTTGGTAACATTTAATCAATATTTATTTATAGAAATATCAGAGCTATTGAAAGCCTTATGATTTTTAAGAGTTCAGTGAGACATATGATACAGGGTTATCATAGATGTTCTGCGGAGATATTACACAAATGATGACTAGAAACATTGAAGTTGATAGTCAAGTTATATGTTGTAATGAGAACAAAAAAAAGGAGACTAAATGTACTCATATAATTACAAAATGATTAGAATTATAAAATAAGCACAATAACCAAATCACAATAGCCGGCTCAAAGAGTCCCATAGCCATCACCGTTCCCCCGCACTCCGGATTAGTCTCATAACGGGCTTAAAGAGTCGAAGCTCGTGGAGATACCGGAGGAGCCAACTCATCTCAGAGAGATAATTAGAGTTGTGTAACTCCAAAAAAATAAAATAACCAAATCACAATAAATGCTAGCGTGGTACCTGGGGCATTCAATTAGTCAATTCGGATCAGTTTGGGCATCTTGCGATCGAATTGACCACCTCTAAGGGGTTGAAATTGAAAATAATGTTAAAGAAAAGGGGATCGAGCCTCTAGATACGCATTCTAGAATAAAAAAATATAAAAATAAAAAAGTAAAAACAAAATATTTAATTTATTGAGAAAATTTAAAAATTTAAAAATAAAAAAATTATTTTTTATTTTTTATTTGTAATTATTTAACAAAACACCAAAACAAGTCCAATCTAACCGACTACAGTTAATTAATCTAAGCTCATTACGTTCATAGGTTAAAATATATCTATTCTATAGCAGGTCATTTTAATCCTAATCGATTTTCAAAAAATTAGAAAATATATATCAACAACCGAACTTAATAGATTGGTGCTCTTTAGTGGACCTTTGGGCCAGGCGGAATTTTCGTTCTATATAATAGCAATGTAAGCGAATGATGTCAAAATTAAGTTTTTACATAAGAATGGAAGGACAGTAGAAGCGTAAATCGTAGAGATAATACAAAACATAAATTTTTTACTAATTAAGGTCAAAATATAAAATATATATATATATATATATATATATATATATATATATATATATATATATATATATATGCCTATAAAAAAAAATCATATAAGTCATAAATTATGTTATTTAGTTTGAGCATTTTACTTTTGAAAGTGACTTAAATGCAGATTGTATGATTTTATTTTGATTCATGATTATGTTTGGACGTTGAAATTGTGATTTTTGATTTGACAACAGAATTTGAATATTTTGTAAAGTTGATTCATGGTTCTGCTTGGAAGTTAAAAATTAACAGGCTAACGGGTTAGGCCAGACCATTTATTTTTTATAAACGGGTCAAGCCATGCTAACAGTTAGACTCGTACTAGGCTTGGACCAGGCCAAATTAAATTTTTTTGACTTAGGCTTGGACTTTTCGAGGCAAAGCTTGACTTAGCGCAGTCCACTTTCACCCCTAGAGATGAGGTCCACAAGTTTTTTTTCTCTCACACTTTCTCTCTCCTCTTCATTGGAAAAGTCACTGTTTCATCATGTAATATGATATTTACATAACCCATTTTCTAAAAGTTAAACCAAATCAAAAGAATTGATTTGGAAAATCGGTTCAGAACCTATTTGTAAAACAATTCAAAATTGGTTCGCTAAAACAAGTTTGATTTGAAACCAAAACAGTTTAAACTAGTTTGGTTCGGTTAAAAAAATATATATATATTTCGGATTGACACATATCCACCTTTACTATATTACAAGATGAAAATTCATTATCAGAAATTATTTTCATAATTATATCAAATAATTACTTTTAGCAAATATTTCCTCACATACACTTGTGAGGCTCACTCTTTACCTCACAAGTCACAACTTCTAAAATATGGACATAGCTTATAAAAGGCACCCGGTCATACGTTGAAAATGAGCTTATATTCGCTCCTTAGTATTACGTAGAAAAAACCAATCGTGCCTGACACTCTCTTCTCGCCAACCGCAACCTCTAAATTGGCCTAGACAATAACAGCGAATCATTTACAAGGTTGACCATTTCTGATCTATATTCAGATCAATTGTTATTCGAAATTTTTCATTGAATTGAACAGAGTATGTAACTAGTTATAAATTGATTTTATGTAATTGAGTAGGATGGGTTCAATAAATTGTTTTCAATAAGAACATCAGAGTAAGATATTTAAATATAAAAAAAAATGTGTTATCAAAAAAAAAAAAAAAAATATAAAAAAAAAATGAAAAGCTATTCTTCAAGGTTAATTACATAGTGACTAAGTTCTTGGGCCTCGAGGTAATAATAAGTCTTCGTTTTCCTCTTTGACTTGGAAACACAAATGATTTTTTCTTGATCAACTAATAAATGATTCCATTTTCAATTCTTTTATTCTTAAATTGATGGAGAAATTCTACTCGCACATGTGCAAAGACCTTGGTCTGGGGTATCGGAAAAATTATCAGGGTATGTATCGTATAACAGTGGAATATTCCACTTCCGTTTATTCATCCCCTACAGTGTATGCATTTTAAACATGGATGAAAATGAAATAAGACTTCCCATTATATCGTTAGGTAAATCTTGAGAATTTTCTTCGGCGTAATCTTTTATTTTTTATTTCTTTCATATGTTCAGCTATAATTTCTGTTGTAGGACTTTAGGAAGCTTGTGAGAATTCTGAAAAGCGAAAAGTTAAAATTCAGTGAAATACAGTTAAGAAAAATAAAACTTTCGGATAAATCCTGAAGTAAATCTTAAAGCTTCTCCGAATTGCTTTTTTGAAATATAACTGTCGATTTTTTCCTTCTAAATATTCACAATATATTGACCAAACCTATTACTCCAAAAACTTGCAAATTTTTTGTAATATCGTGAAAGTAATTTTCAAACAAAGGCAGTTTTGTTTATGTTTTTGCTAGCCTACACAGGCCCAGTATGTTGGGCCGATCATCTGAAGGTACAATAGAGGCCTAGTTATTTAGCATTATATAGATGAACACATGGTCCTCATTGCAGGCTTCTCTCCCTTGCACAACTTAGTCGTATACCCATGATGGTAAAGCAACGTCTCATTGCAATAGTTGGTGCAATGATCCCCCTCTCGCAGCTATACCTACGATAGCATCTTTGGTGACTCTCCTTAATTTAGGTCTATATCATTGCTTCTTTAAACACCCGCATATATGAGATGCTATACTTCTTGAGGAATATAGACCTAACTCTAAATCCACTACCTTTCAATTTGTTGACCCGTGCAGGGAGAGCTCATGGTTAGGAGAGATCGTCAATCATAGGCTAAGTGAGCTTAGAACATCACAATCAAACTCAAAACCTTAAGGCATTAGGTCCCTCCACTTATATGATTCTCACTTAGTCCATTCTTAACCAATGGAGAACTTTTTCACTCAATCATTCACACTTGGATTTTTCAACATCTCCCTCTCCCCTCAAGGAGAAGCTTCTTCAAGTATTAACGGAGTTCATCAACCAATCCATCATTAGCTCTGATACCAATTGTTGGGCCGTACAGGGGGAGCCCATGACGGGAAGAAACCGCCAACCATGGGTTAAGTAAGCAACGACATTAAATGGGCTTGGAACACCATAATAAAACTCAAAACCTTAAGATATTAGGTATATAGGTTTTTTCACTTATATGATGCTCACTTAGTCCATTCATTCTTAAGCAATGTGAGACTCTTTCACTCAATCATTCACACTTGAATTCCTCAATACAATTTACATCTTAACACACACAAAAAATATTGAATAGCTAACAAGTTTGTTGCTCAATTCACACGCCTAATTCTTTATCTCAGTTCCGTCTTCCACCAAGTTACCTTACCTCTTCCTTTACTTAAAGTTCCACTTCCAGAACATTAGGGGGCAAACAAAAAGAAAAGAAAAGGAAATCATATTAAATAGAACCTCAAATATGTTATTTACAAAAACGAATTAAAAGCACGACTCTGAAAGTCTTCTAACGTGTTTTAGACGTTTGAACGAGAAGAGTAAATAATGGAAAAGTATGATTACAATTTGCATTGAAGAAAATTTATTGGAAGTTACGTTGGTCATTGCACCTCGAAGCAAGAGATTTCTCTTAGTTGTAGAGCATATAAGATTCTTTAATTAAATTCTAACATTATCTCAACACATGCATAAAAAAACAAAAGTTTCATGTCATGTATAAATATAATGAGACTCCCAGTTAATAATAATGTATCGTAAATCAAGCACATTACTCAAAACCTAAAGTTTATGCAATTGAATGTCAAAATTATTCTTCCAAAAAGTACCTTGAAAAACTAAATGTCAATAATTGAAAAGAAAAACAAGAAAGCAAGTGAAAATTCAAAGAAAGCGAAGCATCTTCAATTTCTTTGCCACCTTTTCCTAGCGGACTCTAGACGGTAATTAACTTCGATGGAAAAGGGAAAAAACTAGTTTCAAGCCCCGCGTACGATAGCAAACACGTGGCACGTTGGCTATCATCAATTCTAGAAGTTCTTCGAAGTTTCAATCACTCAATATAGGACAAAGGAATCAGAATGTGCATTCCCCATTTATAAAGAACCCACCTTCAAGTGTTCATTTTGTTCCCAGTTTTCTCGTGTTGCCTTACTCCTTTGGTTTCTACTCGTGACTTACGCTGTGTTTATCTATTTTGCTCTTTAGAGTGTGGTGACTAGTCACAAAAATGCTCACACAAAAGTGCTTTATGCTCTTCTTTGCTTGTCTCCTAATAATTGCACCCAAGTTATCTCTCAACCCAAATGGCGTGGAAGCCAGTCACGTTTTCACCCTCCAGACAAAAGGTAACCATCTTAAAGATGAATCTTTCCATATATATATATATATGTGTGTGTATTTTATATTTTTGTTCTTTATGTTTGCTTCAAAATTATATAGAAAGCATATATGTAAATACAATGCATGTTTTGATTAATATTATTTAGGGTACTCAAAGCGTCAAGCTTTTTCGACTCTGGGGCTTGTGTGCAAATGCTGTGATGGTGAAGGTGGCGAATGCAGA